CACTCGCCGGAGTGTAGTGGTTTTCTTATATAGTGGAGAGTGTTATCACAACCAAAACAACTTCTTAGTTCGTTACGGTAACATAGATTGGATTACAGTTTTGTTAGCGGTTGTTTCCTCATCAATTGGTGTGCGTTTCTACTGAAACGCGCGGTAACGTTTTGATAGTCATAACACCCTCCACATAACACAACCATTTAGTGCACTCAGAACCATTGCACGGGCTATTCGCGTAGCAGCTGAGCGTGACCTGTAGGGTGGCTGAGCGGGGAATAGCTGAGGTTAGTTTGGGGATAGGTGAGGTGAAGGGGTACCATATTGGCGCGACCGACGCTCGCCTGAACAGGAGCACGCAGCGACTGCGGAGACCGAAGCATCCATGGCTGTCATGAGATGGGGAGGAGAGTAATCGATTATCCATGACCAGATTTTGAACTTTTCATTATGAAAGTGCCCTGCGATCATATGGCGCGTTTCTACATTCATTTGATTAGAAGACAGCGATTAGTCACGACTCTAAAGCAGTTGCATGAGCCCGGCGAAGCCGGGCTTCCAAGAAGGAGGAGAGCTCGGCGTTAGCCGGGCGATCCGACTGGTTTGTTTAAAATACAGGACTCACGAACCAGAGGGGGGCGAGCTAAAATTCTCTTAGCTTGCCCGAAAACCAGGGTCAGAGCCACAAGCTTCACATTTAGAGCAGCAAGTACATACAAAAAAGTTACAAAGAATATGGCCATTCCCAATTCTCTTCGACAGTTCAAGAAGCTTGCAGCTGCCCAGCTACTTAGTCACGAAACATCCTAGTTAACTGAGATTGACTTTTGCTTATCATGTCTCCTATTTCAGATTTTGATTGAACACTTCTTATCGCCTTATTGTCAGACCAGTCGGATCGCCCGGCTAACGCCGAGCTCTCCTCCTTCTTGGAAGCCCGGCTTCGCCGGGCTCATGCAACTGCTTTAGAGCCTCACTTCTTAACTCGTGAAAGAAAGGAGCAAAGTAAGGCATAAGCAGGGCGATACTACTGTCTTAGGCATTTATGATGCTCTCATGGTGACTAACCGGTGTCTTCTAATCAAATAAATGTAGGAACGCGCCATATAGTCGCAGGGCACTTTCATAATGAAAAGTTTAAAATCTGGTCATGGATAATCGATTACTGTCCTCCCCATCTTATGACAGCCACGGATTCTTCGGTCTCCGCAGTCGCTGCGTGCTCCTGTTCAGGCGAGCGTCGGTCGCGCCAATATGGTACCCCTTCACCTCACCTATCCCCAAACTAACCTCAGCTATTCCCCGCTCAGCCACTTTACAGGTCACGCTCAGCTGCTACGCGAATAGCCCGTGCAATGGTGT